CAAGGCAAAGTACTAGCATATCTATCACATCTGTTACAGTTTCTGTAATATATACTGTATATTTATTACAGTTTATGTTTCAGATAACTCCTAATTTATTGTACTCTACTGAAAACATGTCTTACATATAAGCTGCTGTTATAATTGGTAATTTGGAGAATTTATAGCTTAGAAGAGAGGCCAAAGTCCTGAAAACAATAATAGCCTAGGGAAACTGACATTAAGAGTTCCCTTTGTCACCCTGCTTCCACCCTCTTTTCCTTCTTTTCTTGTTTTTTTGAGACAGGATTTTGTAATCCAAGAGCCAGCTTAAAATTAGTATGTAGCTCAGGTTGGCCTTGATCTCAGACTTCTCCCAACCCACACTCCCAAATGCTGGAATTACAAGTGGGCATCGCTCCACCTAGCTCAAGAGCAGGTTTCTTGGGAGATTTGCTTCAAATGTTCTTTAAGTTTAGAGCACCCTGAATGCTTCACATTTTCACGCTTAAGACAAGGAAGTTTGAGATTTATTTGAGCCAGTAAGCCTGACAAGTTAAAAATTAAAGGCACAGATTATAAATTTATTAACCATTTTTCTTCAGCATAATTTTTTGTTGTTTTAGATTTATTTTTATTTTTTTCTTGTTACTGAGGATCGAACTCGGGACCTTGAGCTTGCCAGGCAGGCCTGGCGCTACTGACCTACATCCCTGGCCCTACACTTATTTTTAGAATGTCCTACTGAGGACTGGGGATTGATTTAGCTCAGTGGTTCCGATGCCTGCCTCAAAAGCACAAGGTTCGGAGTTTGATCCCCGGTACCCAAAAACAAAACAAAAAATGTGAATGCTTATATATATAGGGCCCAGGGAGTTAGCTCAGTGGTTTCGCTGCCTGCTGCGCAAGCGCAAGGACCCAAGTTCGATCCCTGGTACCAAAAAAAACCCCCACAAAAACTAGAATGTCCTGCTGAGAGCAGCCGCTTTAAGGAATAAATTTTTTGTACTTTTTCATTATTAGTTTTTTTAAAATATGAAAACAATGTATAATTTTTTTAAACTCATTGAAATTTGACTCCATTTCCAGTTCCTTTTCTTAGAAATGAGTACTATTAATAATTTAAAGTGTCTTTTTTTATAGGGCATATGTTTTTCTAGAATAGAAATTGTAATTTGATGGAAAATAAGAGTGTTGTGGCCAATTGTAATGGTACTCTTCTGTGATCCCAGCACCTGGGAAGCTGAAGCAAAAGGATTGTGAGTTCTAGGCCAGCCTGGGCCACACAGTGAGTTGAGGCCAGCCAAGACTACGGAGTTAGACCCAGTCTCAAAAACCAAAGACAACACCGTGGACTGTGCGGTAGTTTTTCTAGTTGCAGGCTTTGAGAAAGATCCTGAAATTTTGAAAAGCATATGATTCAGGAATGTACCTTGGCTTTTCCTTTACAAACAGTGTTTAAAAATGTCTTTTGGAATAAAGTCTTATTTTCTGCTTGTTTTTAAGAGTCTGTAGTGACTTTTGTTTAGTAAATCTGAGGTCTTTAGAATTTTGAGTTGAGAAAGAGTCACCTATAGGTACTGTATGTGAGTTTTACATACAAAGAGGCAAATGAGATTCTTTAAAAACTTGCTTGGGACTAACTGCATGTTCAAAAAGTACAGCTACTTTCTTCCCTTCCTTGTGTTATTTGTGGTCTTCCCCTCTGTAATTAGAGTTCAAATTAGTGGTATTTATACTATGTTTAAGATATGTTGCATCATTTAGGATTAACCTTTATAGTAATCAGAATTTTTTTCATATTTTCTTATATTTTAAAAACCTAGAAAAATACAAAAGAGCCTAATACAGTTGATTACATATAAAAAAGCAAGACTTCTCAACACATATTTTACATTGCTTTGACATATTTATATAATATATAATGAATGTATCTCCCTTTCTTGTGGCTGCCATAAGAAATCACTGTAAACCGAGTGGGTTAAAACAACAGAAATTTACCCTTTCACCGTTCAGGAGGCCCAAAACCCAAGTGCTGGCTGTCTACACCTGTGAGGGCTCCTGATCCTCGCCTCTGCTATCTTCTGAGGTCCTAAGCATTCCTTGACTGCTCTGCTCCAGTCTGTGCCTCGAGGGTCACAAGGTTTCCTTTTCTGTCTGTCTCTATCTCTGTCTCTGTCTTTCTGTCTGTCTCCCCCTCCCCTCTCCTCTCCTCTCTTTCCCTCCCCTAGTAGGACTATAAGCGCCATCATCCCTGCTTCTAAAAATGAATATTTAGGAGTCGCTGAGGAAGCAGAGGCTGACCGAGCTGCAGGCGAAACACGGGGATCCTAATGATGCAGCACAACAGGAAGCAAAGCACAGGGAAGCAGAAATGAGAAACAGTATCTTAGCGCAAGTTCTGGATCAATCAGCCCCAGCCAGGTTAAGTAATTTAGCACTTGTAAAGCCTGAAAAAACGAAGGCAGTAGAGAATTACCTTATACAGATGGCAAAGTATGGACAGCTAAGTTGTAAGGTCTCAGAACAAGGTTTAATAGAAATCCTTGAAAAAGTAAGCCAACAAACAGAAGAAAACAACAGTTAAATTCAACAGAAGAAAAGTAATGGACTCTGATGAAGATGATGATTACTGAACTAAAAATGTTTAGAGACTGACACTTAATGAAACAGTTTTAGGGCAGAAGTTAAAATCTGTTTAAATGTTTACTTTGTTTTGTCTATATGCTTTTAAAAAAATAAACTTGTTATGCAAAATAAAGTTGTTTCAATATCACACACAAAAAAAAATGAATAGAGTTTCTTTTTCTTTTTTTTTTTTTTAAATTTTTTTTTTGTTTTTGTTTTTTGGTACCGGGAATTGAACTCAGGACCTTGCTGTTGGGAGGCAGGCAGTGGAACCACTGAGCTAAATCCCCGGCCCTTTAAAAATATTTTTATTGGTACATTTTAGATAAGAGGATAACATTCATCATATGGAATTTGTATCTGTACATGATATATATTGCTGCTTCTTTTTTCCCCCATTCTTCTCCCCTCCCTTCAACTCCTCTTCCCCTCCTTATTTACAAAAGCTTTGTTTCCATTTTTTTCATTCTATTCTTTTTTCTTAGAAGATTCATTGCCTTGTTCTCTATCTTTCCAGCCTCACTGCTTGTCATTCTCTGCCTTATGTTTGATGTTCCAGCTACATTGAACTCACTTATGCATTGAATTCTTCATAAATGTCATTTTTTTTCTTACTTCCTTGCTTTTTCTCATTAGATCTTTTCCTAGAATCCCCAGGAGTTTCTAGTTCCCCAATTCCTGGTTTACCTCTTTAAGGTTAGTCAGAGAAAAACTGAAGATTTAGCTTTCACTCTCTGGAGAAGCTGCTCTACACAGCCCTCTTATTTTTCTTAGTATGTGATGTTATATAAAAAATCTATATATTTTATTTCTCTACACCATTCACTTCTAAACTTTTGATTACTCAACTTATAAATTATGTACATGTAATTTATTAATAAGGCCTTTGGTAAGAAAAATACATATAAGGACTAATGCTTTCATCCTGTATCTTACTAAAACTAAGTGTGGGTTTCTTGGTTTAGGAACTGAATAGTTATCTGAACTCTTAGTGTTTTTCATCCCTTTGTGTCAGTGCACCCTTTCTTAATCATTGTCACATATTGTAGATTGCTCTTTATTACAGTATATACCCGTCTCTTGAGTATGGTCATACCACATTTCTTAATGCTCCTGATTTCTTGCATAGTGCCTAACAAATAGTACACAATTGTTTGTGGAATGGATATAGTGAATTGAGTAAGTGGGATGAATTGACACTAATCTGAAAATAATTATACAGTGATTCTTTTATTTCTTTTTAGTATTTGAGAGATGGTAGGGACATTTATCTTTAAAATGCTTATTGTTTAGAACAGTGCATCTCAAATTATTTGTGATGGACTACTTTCATTTTAGTTTTCAATCCATTTATACTTTTTTCAATCTATAGATGCTTTTGTAAAATTCAGTAAAAAATACTAGTGAGCTAGACACAGTGGAGCACACATGCAAGAGGCTGAGGCAGGAGGACTTAAAGTTCAAGGCCAACTTCGGCTACATAGTGTGACTCCTGTTTCCTCTGTAAATAAACAAACTAGAAAGTGCTAAAAAGCAGAAAATTAAACACTAGGAAAATGGCATACAGAGAGAGATACAAAGTGTAGGCCTTTTTTATTATTAGATTCAGCACACATACAATTACTCTCTTCAGTCCATGGACCTTCAGTGGTCCTTGTACCATATACTTTAAGGAGCATGGTATAAAGGACTATGATAAATGTTTTATCTCATTTAATTCTCATAAATTTGTGGGGTGGCACAGTTGGCACTGTTAATGGGAAACTGCCAAAGGTCACATAAATCCTAGGGAAAGCAGACTGGATTTAAACCCATGCAGTCCAGTTTGGCTCTGAAGTCCAAAGTTTGCCTCTGATTTCATAAAGATTAAATAATGCAAGCAGAGATAATTACAAGTCAGAATATAATTTATTTAGGAAAGAGAAGAGGTCAAAGAATGATTTTCATATAAAAAATAGGGTTATGGAAGATGGTGACCAACTTTTATCCCCTTAGTGATTCTGCATCTGCTTATATATTAGTATTAAAATCCCCGATTTGCAAAACAACAGAGCAATGGTTATTTCTTTGAAATGTGTCTTTGTGCCCTAGTTTTAGTTACCGAGTACTTTTTCATGCTCTTCCTCTTTTCTTATTTAATAGTATAATCAACCAAATTGTTACAATTACACTCATATAAACACAAAAATAAACTTTCTTTCTTATTAGTATTTTAAAAACAAAATGTCATGATCATGTATTTGTTATGTTAATGGTACTAAATGATCACATTACCATTTTGTTTTATATCATGAGATTCTTGATTTTGTGAATTTGGAAACTTCTAGAATGTATGAATTTAAACAAAGTATTATTTGTGAATTTATAATTTTCTAAAAATCTTCTTCCTGTAGAAATCTGGTTAAGAAGTACTGTCCCAAACGTTCATCCAAAGATGAAGAGCCAAGGTAAATTACATACCACTTTATTATTGCATAAAAAATTAAAAACTTTCTGTTAATATTTAGTAATGTAATGTTAACTTTTTTATGAACATATTTTAAAAGTGTTTTAATTTTTAAAAATCAGTGTTTATGAAAGAGAAAAGTACTGTTTATCTTATAAGAATAAATCTTGATCGACAGTTTTCTAGAATGGTTCAAGTGGGGATTTCCAAGTAAGATGTATATTAAGGCTCCACTGGAATGATTTAGTCACCAAAAGAAAAGGTATTTACCCTACACACTTTGTAGTTGTCAGCTTTTAGGCTGTTGCTTTTATTCTAGGTGGTAAAGCAGTTTGGTTGGTTGGTTTAAAGGGATAATGAAAATGGATGAGATTTTCAGGGTAAGTTTTGAATGCTGAATAAAAGGTTAGGAATTTCTTATGAGCTTTTTGACAGTTATAAATAGGAATATATAGATAGCTGTAAAAATGCACAAGGAAAGTGAGCTTAGACTTAACAACTTTGCATAAAATTGTCAGTTATTAGGATTCTTAGGTTTGTTGTTAATGGAGTCCTGTCTGAGCTGTCAGCATTCAGTTGTGAGAGAGTATTCCTTCTTGTATTCCAAGTAGATATATACATTTTAACACAGTGATTCTCTTTTGTTTCTCTCTTTCCCTTCACACACATTTTTACCCTTATTTTTGACCCTTTTACCCCTCTTTGGTGCCAACCATAATGGCACTTCACTCCCATTCAGGATGTGGGCAGGCATACAGGCAGCTGCATCCAGAGCTGATAGCAAAGTTGTTCTGTAGATAAGCCATCGAAATGCATTTGAGTGGTATGCTTGGCAGGTTCTGTCCTTGAGAGCAAGCACATCATCTCTGCAACAGGTTCAGCTGCCAAGCCTAGGAATCCAACCAAGTTCATTCCCAAGCTCAGGCCAGTCAGTTGGCAACCTAAGAGATTCCAAAAGAGCCTACAGGTAGTATTCTTATTATTTTTTGATCCCAAATATCCCTTTATGTATAAGTTAAAGGCTACTCGAAGATATATAAAAATGTGTAACTTGAGCTTAATGTAGGATTCTTTCCATACAAAGTTAATTTAGAGCTAGCAGTTTGGATTTAGGTTGAGTATGTTAAGATTTGTCAAGTGTTAGGCTTTATTATACCTTACCAAAATATTTGTAATGAAAAGAAAAATAAATTTCACCATTTTTAATGTGTTTCTGCCAGGTTTACCTCATGTATAGCCTTTTTTAACATCCTTAATGAGTTAAATGACTATGCAGGACAGCGAGAGGTAGTAGCGGAAGAAATGGCACACAGAGTGTTTGGTGAATTAATGAGATATGCTCATGATCTGAAAACTGAAAGAAAAATGGTAATTCTTATTTTTATTCAATTATAGTTCTATGAAATATTTTCACAAATAATTATTTTGCTTTTAAGAATGTATGTTCAGCATAAATGGACTTCCTGTTTAATTAAATGTCTTCTAGCTAAAAAGTTATTGCAAGATGTTCTTGCTAATTTATGAGCCCCCTGGATATAAGATGATTTGGCAAAGTATAGCCCATGGTTCAAATCCAGCCTACTGCCTATTTTTGTTCCCTAGTTCCCACAAGCTAAGAATGGTTTTTTTATACTTTTAGATGATTGGAAAAAAAAAGGATCACAAGTTCTGGCCCAGCCTGGGCAATTTAGCAACTTAGTGAGGACTTTGTCTCAAAATAAAAAATTAAAAAGAGCTGGGGATATAATGCAAAGGCCTTTGGTTCAGTCCCCTTTGAAAAACAATTTATGTGTGGTTGGCCTGTATTCCTATGACCCTAGAGGGCTACAATAGGAGGATCACAAATCGGAGCTCAGCTTGGGCAGTTTAGTGAGACTCTGTCTCCCCCCCCCCCCAAAAAAAGGATCTGAGGATATAGCTCATTGTGAAATCCCAGGGTCCACTCTCCAAAACAACAACAAAAAACACATTACCAAAATGAAAACCTTTGTTAACCCCTCCTGAAGTTATTTTTATTTCCCTCAATTTTACATCTATTTGAAAGGTTATATTTAAAGTACTGAAGTAATATCCTATAAAATGCATTTTAGTTGAATTTCATTTACTTTGTCCTCATAAAATTATATAATTAGTATCTTAAAAAAAAAAAGACTGAAAAGACTTTGGGACTTTACAATTTAGTATTTAAAATGTATTATTTTTGTTTGTTTTGTTGGTGGTGTTTATAATCTCTAGCATCTCCAAGAAGGACGAAAAGCTCAACAGTACCTTGACATGTGCTGGAAACAGATGGATAATGTGAGTTACATTCTTTTTCATGGTTAACATAAGATTTTGGTCACCCCTAGATCACCCCTAAATTCTGTTAAGCTTTACATCTTGAGTTTTGTATTTTCAAAGTATTACTCATAATTTGACTTTTTTGGGGGGCATGGTAGCCAGTAAAGTGTAAATGGAGGATATAAGATTATTTTTCTTTTTTTCCTATATAATTCTGTAGTACTTGTATGAGCACTCTAATTAATATTCTTATTATTCTAAACATTCAGGGAGTTTCTTTTGCACTTTTGAGTATAGTTACAATAAAATATAAATAGGGGATAGAAGTAGACTAATAATGGTGATATATTGTGGGAGACCATTTGAGACTGAAAAAAACCAAGATATTAGTTCTACCTTTTCTTACCACTTGATTTCTCTTGACTTCATTTTCAACATAGGAAAAATGAAGAAATCAAACCAGGTTGTATGAAGTGTTTCTTCCAGTTCAGTTATTGTATAAGTCTATGAATGTTCCTAATACTATAGGAAAACAAAAAGCAACAACAAACTTTTATAAGGCAAAATTATAAAAGCATAATAATTCATTTAAAATTTTTTCTAAGGTACTTGTTAATGTAGTTTTTCTTCAAGGTTCTGGTATACAGTAATTGGAAAAACAAGATGTCTACATGAAACACTAGTCTTTACTTAAAACGATGTATTAAGTGATGTTATATCTCGTAAAACATTCTTTTTTAGTCATGAGTGACACTTGTAATCCCAACACTGGGTAGAAAAGATGTTCTTTTTAAACCTTCAGTTTATGAAGCAGTTTCTTTTTTACTAGTATATTTTTGTTATGTATATATATTCCTTGAGAATTTGCTGAACGAAATTTTTGTTAGTTTAGTCAAGAAAAACAACTTTGAGATACTTGCAGTGTTCCCAGCCTTTCTTTCCTTTTCAAAAATGCATATTCAAGACTTGGGCATGGTGGCACACACTTGTAATCCTAGCAGTTGGAAGGCTGAGGCAGGAGGATTGCTGGAAGTTCAAGGCCAGCTTTGATTGACATAGTAAGTTCAAGGCCAGCCTGAACTTAGTGAGACCCTGACTCAACAGAAAAACCCCAAACAAAACAAAACAAAGATATATATTCAAAGCTTAGATTAAGATTCTGTTATATAACTGTTACTGATAAAAGATTCTATCACCAATGCTGATTAAGAATTCTTAAGTAGAGGCCAGGGGATTTAGCTCAGTGGTTCTGCTGCCTGGCAAGCCCAAGGACCTGAGTTTAAGACGGTACCACAAAAAAAAAAAAAAAAAGAAAAAATTAATAGTCTCTTCATTTTTGTTTTGATTTTCTAATTGGCTTCTGTAAGACTTTTAGGGAGTATTTTTATTGATTAAATTTTAATTGCATTCACTAGCATCCCTAGTATCTCCCTCCTAATGAGTGTGTATATGCTTCTGTGTTTACTCTTGCACAAGATAATAGACTCCTACAGTGAAGAGATACTGACTCCATTAACAATTGGTGTTGACACCAAATCATTGTTGATAATGTGTTGACTTGCCTTTAAAACAATTAGTAGAGGAGTGAGGATGTAGCTCAGTGGCGCCACACCTGTCTGGCAAGTCCAAGGTCCTAGTTCGATCCCTGGTACTACAGAAAAAACAAAAACAAAAAACAATTAGTAGTTATTAAGAAAAAGTTACAGAGGTCATAAATAAGAAAGAAGCTTCAAAAATGTAGGAACATTTTCTTCAAGGCATTAGTGATGCTACGAAAAAAGGTGAGTTTACTCAAGTTTATTGACAGCATCCTTTACCTGTACTGAGCCCTGGGTGTATAAAAGTGAGTATGACATGGTTTTAGTTTTTGTGGAGCCTGCAGTCCAGTGAAGGAGACCTGCAGATATAATTTCTGTTTAATGTGTAGAAACAAGTATAGGATCCTATTTTTCAGTTCTGTCTCTTCCCGTTTAGCCAAGAAAATAAAATTGTAGAATTTCTAACAGGTTTGAAATGATTTAGAGTAGGTATAAAGAACTGGGGAAATAGGTTGAGTTAGTGGCAGAGTACTGGAAATTTTTGGGGGGGGGGAATAAAAATTAATCCCAGAATAAACAAAATAGGTAGCACTGGCATTTAAGATGAGAACAGAAGAAAATAACTTGTGAAGGGGATCTTGGAGGAATGGTTGTAGATTAAGAAGTATCAGTGATGCTAGATCCATCAGTTAGGCGTTTCCAGGTAACAGATCATATGCATTTCTACTAACAGAGCTCCAAAATTGAGCAGTTTAAAAATTAAGTAATTCAGCAGTGGCATCCAGGCTGCATGACCTCTTTCTCTCTGTCTGTCCACTTTGCCATCTTGACCATTTTGGCTTGTTTCTTCAGCCTTTTGCCCTTACAGTCAATAGTTGTTTTAGGCAGGCAGATATCACACATTTCAGTTGCACCCAGAGGCAAGTATTTATTTATTTATTTTCTGGCTGTCCCTTTTCATCAGCAAAGTAAAACTTTCCTAGAAAACTCCCAGTAGATTTCCTCATGGTACCATTAATGAGATTAGCCCAACCTGTGGGAAGGCAGGGTTAACAAGTTTTAGCTATTTTCAGCTGCTGTTAGGAGGCAGGTTCTTCTGCCATAGAAAGCACGAAGAAAGAGCACTTATGGAGTGAAGCCCTATACTGTGTTGATGTACTTTAATTCTGTTGATGTAGCATATAGCTACTCAGTTTGAAAATACAGCTCTGAACTGACTTTCAGAGAATTAAATGTGGAAATTTAATCTTAATTTTTGTAGGAAAATGACATTCTGTTATTGTGCTTACCCAGATATTTTTATGTGCTTTGAATAAATTGTGGGTGTAGTAAAAATACTAAGTAAGGCCTACATTTAAAGAAATTTATAAAAATTCAGAGCACATTTATTTGATGTAAATTACAGAGTATGTCAAGCTGAGCTAACACAGAAATCTTTTGAGTACAAATCCCTAGATAAAATGATTTTTTAAAAGTCATATTTTAAACTCTTAGGTACTTGGAAGAAAGGAAAATCTCTGTTAGGAACCCAAGGCTAAACAAAGAGCAGTAGATGTATGAATTGATACAATGGCATTTGGAAAAATGGGGGAGGGATGCTGAAATGTGGTGGTTTACTGGGCATATTTGCTAAGGACTTGTATTTTAGTGTACAGGGACAATAATTATGTTTCAGTTGTGTATATTGTTGGAAGTTGGGACTGAGACCCTTGTGTAATATTTGAACCTCCGAAGAACTAAAAAAAAAGTAGACTAAGAACTCTGTCTACTAGCCAGGGGTCACATCAAAGAAATTTATCTCTGTCTGAAGGTTAAGGGAGGTATCCTGTGAGAAACTTAAACCCTTGACCTTGTCATCATGAGGTTTGGTTTCCAAATTTGGACTATTAATATGGTTTTGTAATCTTCAAGACAAGACATCGTAACTGTTTCTGAAATGGTTAGGTCATTACAAAATGTTGAGATCCTTTGTTTTCTTCTGATCACTCAGAATACAGAGAGCAAGGCTTGTATTTTCTAGATAGAAAATTGAAAAGCTTTCTCTGAGGAGTCAAAGTAGCTACAGAAGGAAAAAAAAAAGTACAGATAATGCTATGAGGGTTTTCCCAAGGAAACTCCTGGGTGTTTTACCCAAGAAAGACCATACAAGCCACACCTACAGAGTTTTCAGTCAGCTTTCTAAAGAAGAGTATACAGGAATGAGCATGATGGCACATATCTATAATCCCAGGATTCTGGGAAGTTGAGGCAGAAGGATTGTTTGAGCCTAGCCTGGGTAATTTAGCAGCCTTAGCAAGGTCCTATTTTGAAATTAAAAGGTCAGTGCAAAGACTTGAGGGATATGGCTGTGGCCTTGGGTTTAATCCTCAGTAACAGACACACACAGGCGCTTATTTTCAAGGATCCCTTGGGATTTGAAGAAAACATCTAATGTGTATATCAAAGACCAAAACTAAGATAACTAATATTCAGGAAAATAAGCAGTTTAGAAGAAACCATGAAAAAAAATGAAGATTAAAAACCTTAAAAACGATAAGGAAGCTGAGCATAGTGGCAGACATTTGTAATTTTGGAGGCTGAGGCAGGAGGATCAGAAGTTTGAACCCAGCCCAGGCAATTTGGCAATTTAGTGAGAAAAGGGATGAGGGCCGGGCGGCTGAAAATGTAGCTCAGTGTGAAGATTTTAGGTTCAATCCCTAGGACTATAAACAAAGAAACAAAAGATAGATAAAGAAAATTGTTACTAATATTATTAAGGGAAATAGAGAAAAAATACTACATTCATGAAATAAAGCTAAGGCACTATAAATTTGTTACCTTTTTTTTTTAAGGCAACGTCTTGCTATGTAGTTCAGGCTGGCCTTAAACTCACTATGTAGCCCAGACTGGCCTCAAACTCTTGGCAGTCTTCCTGCCTCAGCCTCCCAAGTGCTGGGATTATAGGCATGCGCCTGGCTTGTTAGCCAAGGCATTATTTTAAAAGGAACATATAAAGAATTGAAAAAACTTTATGATAGCAGAAATGACACTAACTCTAGAAAAAAATGAAAGATAAAGTTGAAGAAATCTCTCAAAAAGTAAAAATGATCGAAATTGAAAATGCAAAAAAATATAAAATTAGAGGACTCATCTAGTAGGTTTAATTTCAAAATAATATGTATCCTTAAAAAAAAAAATGGGCAAAAATAAGTCAAGAAAACAAACATGCTTTATACAATGGATCAGGAATGAAAATGGGACTGGATGGTCATAGGAATCCAGAAAATGCTAATAATTACTTTTAAATTTTTATTTCCAAATTTCATCAATTAAAACTGATGGTAAAGGGACTTTTAGTCATGGAAACTCAAAAAATTATCTCTCACAAACCCCCTTCTAAGAAGCCACTGCTAAATGTGTTCTAGCAGAATGAGGAATTGATCCTAGAAAGGGGAAAGAATGGAACTAGGAAATAAGAGACCCGAATAAGAAGACAGAGGTTCAAGGAATCCTCAAAATAATGGGGAAGGGAGATCCCAAAGGGACAGCGGTGGTGCTGCTGCGGAGCTGGCGGTGGGGTGGGGGTGGTCCGGGGAGGGGGCGGCATCCACAGAGGGGCGGTCCGCTCTTGGTGGCCCAGTTTTTGGTGGCATTACTGGCCAAAAGGAAAATTATATTGTAACAATTTACACCATTTTAACAAGCAGTGAAGATTCGAGTACATCGAAATACTAATTTTTTTCTCATTTTAATTTTCTATTTAAATAGGTTAACATTCAGATATGTTGGAGGGCGGCAAATTGAAGGACTGCCCGGAGCTGCACCAACTCTAGTGAGGGCACTGCAGCTGTGCACTATGCTTAGTTGGTAACAGATTCAAATTTAAGGGGCGGGGATTTAGCTCAGTGGTTCCAGCGCCTGCCTGGCAAGGGCAAGGTCCCAAGGTTGATTCCCGGTACCAAAAAAAACCCCCCAAAAAACCCAAATCAGTTTCTAATACAAATTTAAGCAGGTTAGAAGCCTTTGCGAGATTAAATCATGAAAGTAAAATTGATAGAATTCTTAATGTGTTAGAACTGACTATGAAGAGATTTAAACAACTGGGTTGAATGAAAGATACAGGCATTGAAAACTAGGCTTAGCTCAGAAATCATGGCCCAGTTGCAAATAGCTTTTACACAGTAGTTTGAATTGGATAAAAACATTTTTAAAAATCTGAGTTTGGACCAGTGGTATTTCAGGGACATCTGACAGAAAGCAACATAAAACCATTTTGGAGGGACATTTCCGTCTCTCATGTTAGTCTAGAGTCCCATCAAAAAAATATAAAAGCCAACTAGTGAAACATCCAGTGAAAACCAACCAGTGAAACACTGAAGCAAAAGACCTGCTGAAGATGAGCTTATAATTAAAGCTTACAAATACCTTTTAAAATTGATAGATAAACTGAAATATGTGATAAGTATTAACTTAATCATGCTTCTTTTCTTCACAGACTGTATACCTGATATTTAAGGCACAAATATATGGTTGTAATAATAAGATTTAGTTTCTGATTTTGAAAGAACAGATTTTACTTTTAGTGTGCAGTTCATTTGTACACAATAAAAAGTGGCCACATTTTAAAGTTACTGCTTAAATGGGTTAAGTCTAATCTTATTTTCTCAGTGTGACATTTTAATTTTTTTTAACAGAGTAAAAAGAAATTTGAAAGGGAATGTAGAGAGGCAGAAAAGGCACAACAGAGTTATGAAAGATTGGATAATGATACTAATGCAACCAAAGCAGATGTTGAAAAGGTAAGAAACTATTTTGATACCAAAATATTTGCATATGAAAAGCCATACCATTTGTATCAGCGTAGAAGTTCTTCAAGATACATTGCCTCTAAATCTAAATATACAAATATCTCTTACTGGTCTGTGAAGGTAATGCATTATTTAGCTTATTGTAATATTTTAGCTGTATTTAAAATGCAGAGGCAAGAAATAGTTGCTACCGGAATTGAGTTTTGTCCTATTCCAAAATAGGACAGAAAGCTTAAGATGTGTCTATCTGTTATGTCAGTAGGGGTTAGTGTGCTTTGTCAACTTTACCAAAGAGAGTACATGATAAAACTGTCAAAAATATATGATATTAGATGTTTACTTTGAAAAACAGAATCTTTGATCGCTGATTGTGGCCCAGGTATTTATAGGATTACTAACGGACAAGCTTAGCTCTGTAACTGCTGCTTCTTCGCTTCCCTAATCCCATTCATAATGCTCTTTAGCTTAGAACATTTGAGAGTGATAATACTGAAATGATGGAGTTTTGAAATATAGATGAACGTTGTTGTATACACTAAAGGACCGCCATTAATTATATTACCTCCTTTGGGTTTTATGGTACCCTAAAGAATCAAATGAGAAAAAAGTAAAAAGGAACAATTTATTTCCTGCCTTCCATTTTCTTTGCTAATTAAAAAAAATGTAAACCTTAACTCATATAAATTCCAGGTTGCAATTTAACAAGTCTTCTAGCATAACTCATGATGCTTCTATATTTTCTATGCTATTTTCAATGACTTAAACTTTGACTAATAGTAAGTTCTCTATAATTAGAAATGTATGATCTCAGGGAAATCTTTTTTTAAGCTTTAACATTTTTCTTATATTGGCTTCACTCATCTCTCTTTTTTGGTTTTTGAGATACCATAGAAAAATATCAAATCTATTTGTTTTTCATAATAGCTTTAGATAACTGTAGTATATTCTCTGCTTCTAGAAGAACCATTATGTTTCAACTATTCCACATATGAAATAGCTTCATTATCTTTCACTATGATTACTTTCCTCTTGATACCCTTTAATTTATCAATACTCTACTTAAATTAGTTTTTTGAAATTGTATATAATAATCTAGGTATGATCTGATTTCTTCTAAGTTTGATTACCTCCCTTATGTAAATACTGAATTTATGTTAATAGAGCCTAAATGTATATGGATTTGGGCACCCGCGTTGTTTGGATTGACTCCTATTGAGTTTATGGTTATCTGAAACCCTCCTCTCTTTTCACATGTACAGTGCAATAAGAATATATCTCTCTCAGACAGAATTTATACAGTGTTTAAATTAATATGTACATCTTCATCAATTACTAGATTTGATCTTGCTACTAAGGTTCCCCCCCCTCCCCAGTACCGGGGATCGAACTCGGGACCTTGTGCTTGCAAGGCAGGCGCCGGAACCACTGAGCTAAATCCCTGGCCCTCGCTATTAAGGTTTTTAGAGCCTGATTTTTTTCTTTTTTTTGGTATGGCTTTTTGTTTTGTTTTTTGAGACAGGGTCTCTCTATGTAGTCCAGGGTAGCCTTGAACTTGTTATGTAGCCCAGGCTGATCTTGTGGTCCTTCTACTTTGGCCTCCCGAGCGCTGAGATTATAGGCATATGTCACCACTCTGATTTTAATCGTGATACTAATTGTCTTCCCAGAATTATGCCATACACATAATTGATTGGTGTATTATCATTACTTGATAAACATTTGGGCTACAACAATTGTAAAAAGCACTATGAGAGACTTCTTTTAGGTGACATTGACTCCTTAAGAACTTTGATGCTGGGCATGGTTGTGTACACCTGTAATTCCAGCACTTTGGGAGGCTGAGGCAGGAAGATTGCAAGTTTGAGCCCAGCCTTGCCTAACTTAGGAACTTAGTGAGACCCTCTCTCACAATTTAAAAAAGGGCTAGAGGTGTAGTTCACTACAAAGGCTCTGGCTTTAACCCCTAGTACTGCAGAAAAAAAACCAACAAAAACCCCAAAAACAAAAACCTAAAAAAAACCCTCTTTTGACTTATTATCAAATATTAAAGTTACTTGTTAAATGGACTCTCATTTAACTTATTCATTTTGTCTATAAAGATAATTTTAGATAACTATTCAAACATCTTGAAATATAGATACAACATATCTGCTAGTTGGTTCAGACTAATTTATTCAGAATTTCAGTGTTCATGGCCTTCTTTTTCATGCTCATGTGTTTGCAGTTCTTTTCTTAATTATTAGAGAATTAGGGGAGGCTTCGACTGTTGCAGTTTCTGGCCTTTTCTTCCTCTATACTGATGGAACCTCTGCCCCAGGCTGTGGCAATCATAGCCAGTTACTAGGAACTGGAAGAGTTCTCCCTGACAGAACCATGAGGTCTTATGGGTAGGGAATTTGTAATTCTCTGTTCCAACATGGTTTGTGGTAGAAAGAGAAAAAAGGAAGGGCAAATGTATGTATTCTTAGGGTTCCAAGTTGGAACTTCTCATATACTTTTCTTCAAAAATACTTTGGGCATTAGATGTTTAGTCTTTAGAATACTTACTCATTGGAATCTTCATTTCTACTGTGGATTAAGTGGGTTTTTATGGGCTTTTCTAAGATTTTTGACTATCACGTATTTCCTTAGGTTAGTTTATTTCTGAGTTAAGAAGATCTAACTTATAGACCACTGTCAGAAGATCAGGAATTACATTTATAGAAACTAGAATTACAATAGTGACGTATATTCATTGTACTTTAAAATTTACAAAGCCTACCATGTAAAATGATTTATAACTTGGAACTGTAAAAAAAAAAATTGAGCTCAATTCCTATTTTGTTTTTTCTTTTAGAACAGTTTATTTGTTTAGATTATACTCCAGTATGTCTAGAATAATTTGTGTTTATACTGTACTCTAATATTCTTTTGAACATAGATAATACTAATGACAAGAAATAGAGAACAGAATTAATATTCTAAATAAACATTACTTAAATTTCTGTGGGGTTTTTTTGGTACCTTGGATCAAACCTCAGGACCTTGCGAGGCAGGCGGTGGCAGCAGGGAGTTAAATCCCTGGCCCTATCTGTGGTTTTGTAGAGATGTAATTTACGTTATTCATAAGTCACATTTTTACCATTCCACTGATTTTAGTGTCATTCTAATTGGACATAAATGAATTATAAAGAAATATTTTACTAACTTTAACAGTCTAAACTATTCTTGAAGCTGTTTTTCTTCTGTTCTGATTAAAAGCATTCTGTTTCAAGCTGTAATGTCATTTCTTTACTTATTTTCTATGTGGATTTTATAAAGAGAGTCTGTTTAACTGGGTTATTGCAAGGGAGGAAGACTTGTACAATAGGAGGGAGAATGTTGCAATATGGGAACCACTCTGACTATATATTTTTACATATCTCCTTAAATTTAAATAACAATCAGTTTGAAAGAGTCAGACTACTTCGTTAGTCTTGTGATGTCAGCTGTTGACTTCTACACCTACATGATCTGATTTGGGGATAATTTTCAGAAAAGTGAATTGCTGTGATCTTGCTGTTTTTGTTAATGATTTGGACCAATTTGCTTCTAGGCAAAACAACAGTTGAACCTGCGTACACATATGGCTGATGAGAATAAAAATGAATATGCTGCACAGTTACAAAACTTTAATGGAGAACAACACAAACATTTCTATGTAGTGATTCCTCAGATTTACAAGGTAAGTTTTAGTTGAAGTTAATCTAGTTTGAGAGTTGGAAAAGCTAGTCTTTAAATGTAAAACCTAAATTTGTTTTGTTTTGTTTTTGCAGTTCTGAGAATCTCGCAGTCTCTTGTATGCTAGGCAAGGGCTAGACCACTGAGCTGTTTTCCTAACCCCCATATTTAAGTTTTTCTAGATTTACTAGTTGCTAAGGTTAGTGATGAGATTTTTGTGTGATTACACATTTGAAAAGTTTTTCTTAAATCACAAATTTTCTTATATGTTTATTATTAGTGCTATAAAGAAATAGCCACTAAAACAATGACTTTTTTTTTGGTACCGGGGATCAAACTCAGGACCTTGAGCTTGTGAGGTAGCCAGTGGAACCACTGAGCTAAATCCCTGGCCCAACAGTGACATTTTTAAATAAATTTTAGTACTGTACCATTAACTATTTTGACCTTACAGGAAGAATTCATTGAAATTGTATATTGTCATCTGCTCACTTAGAATTGGGAAATACCTTTTTGACACTACACCAAAATCATTAGCATTGGCGGAATCAGGTGGCAGAAATAAATCTTTTAAATGTATTTGCTAGTCTGTTTTCTGCGTGTTTGTCTTACTGGCCCTGTTAGATCATAATTTTAATTCAGGCTTTGACTTGCTTATCAGTCCTATCTAGCATCACTTAATGATAGCAGTTGCTGAATAGTTAAAAACCCTAGAATTTTCATGAGGGTTAAATTATATTACTGCCTTTTCTAGAAAAAAGAAATTAGAAGAAAAAGATATAGTGAAACAGTATTGAATGAAGTGTAGTATCTAGGAGAGTAGAGATTAGGTGGAAAGAATGTCAACCCAAATATACTTTATTTCTTTTGTAAAGCAATGTGGAAGTACTGAGGAAACTGAGAGGTGACTAGAGCTGAGTATCAGATTCTGGTTATTTAGCCCAAAACATCAAGCCTGTCTGTCCTCACTTGCTTTTCTAGACTGACTGGTTAAGTCTTCATATTCTGGGGGAGAACTTAATTTGGAGATAAACTTTGTGATTTGAGGCCTGGTCCTTTTTTTCTGGAACTTGATAATGGAGCAGCTTTTCCATTTTGTGATGAGCAGAAGCATTTCTTTTGTGAGAATACAGGTCTCAAACTCGTGAGCTTTGAGAAGTAATTAAAGAGAAAAGTGATAGAAGTCTGTGGTTTGAGGACTTAAGTAGTGTAACTGCTTCCTAGGCAAGACAAAGGTGAGTATTGGTAAATAGAAAGTATCAAAAATATAGTACTTGGAAGTTATTTGGCTTCATGTATCCTGACATATTTCCTAGTGACATGTCAGTGAATTTTTTTTTTTTTTTTT